CTCTTTTACCAACGAATAGTGGGATTAACCGTCACATTATAACGCCCCCCCACAAGCTCATCACAAACTTCTACCATATAAAATGGGCCTGGTATGGCCAGGTGGTTAGGGAGGTCGACTCGCAATCTGAGGATCGCGGGTTCTAATCCCCGTCACACCAAACATGCTCGCCCTTTCAGCCGTGGGGGCGTTATAATGTGACGGTCAATCCTACTATTCGTTGGTAAAAGAGTAGCCCAAGAGTTGGCGGTGGGTGGTCGTCTGTAAATTCTTATTGAACATATATGTACATGTACGTATACGATATATCTTATCTATGTAATAATACGCTTTACCTTTCAACGTGTTCTTCTCCTGTACGCCGGTAATGCACACACAATCTTCAACAAACACTACTCTCGGCATTTACCTTGTTTTCATAATTTCATTATCATCTTCGTTCAGTATATTTAATCTGAATGAAACACTTGGTGCCTTCAGAAAACCGTTCTATTGTATACAGTACTTTCGAATACTTCGAATGTCCGCATTGGTTTTTACAGAAGACTTATCATAACACACTAAATTATTACTTCGTAAGTTGCTGAAAAAGGCACTGTTCTCTTCTGATAACTTAAGTTGTCACAAGCTGTTTTACTTTAGAATAACTAGATACTGAAGATTTAAGTTGCTGAGAGAGAAGTAAGGGCTCTGCAAGGGAAGAGTAGAAAGAATTTAGAAACTTGAAGAAAGATATATTGAACAAAATATTTTTAATTTTTGTGATAAAAAATTATGTAAATACTTGACCTATTGCAGGCTTAGTTTTACAACTAAACCTTCAAACTCTTAATAACTACGTATAATTATCTATTGTGCCCACTTGTGTATCTATGTTTGCTTGGTTTTTGAATTCCCCTCATCTCTTTTGATAAAAACAACTTCGACATTTTTATGTATACTTTTGCCCCACATAACATAACAGGAAAATAACTTTGGAAAGAATCCTGAGAAAGCCCTCAAAATCAAGAGGAGTTTTGGGGTGGGGGTTCTCGGGATTAGCTGTGCGGATTTACTAGAAAATTGACAAGAACGGGAGCGCGAATTTTTCGCGCAGTCATTATTTCCCACGACTTCTCAAAAGTAATTTATTAGTTCAATTAAATATTTACAAAAGTAAGACAAGATAGGTTGGATCTCCTAACCATAACCACCTGATATCAGGAACACGGGAATTTTACTGAAGTAAATAGTATTGATTTGTTTTATTTGAATGAAAGAAAATAAACGATTAGGGAGTTTAATAGATATCAGTTCAATTTATAGATATGAATCCAGCGTAAAATATTCCAATTAAAATCGTGACTGAGTTATCCTTGATGGTTTGAATTATTAAATACATTGTAGATATCCTTTGTTCAGCTGAAAGAGAAAATATGTAGATATTAGAGCGATGGTCGCTATTGAAACAGTTAATGTTCATTTATTCTTACAATTGGTGGCTTTTTAAAGCACGAGATACACTGCTATCTAGTCTGCTGGATGTATGAAGCTCAGTTAATGTCTAGATATTTTATCAATTAGAAACAGAAAACAAAAACGAAAGATTCCCCTTGGTGACGAAAGTAGAGAAGTTTTAAGCTTTTAAAATGCACATCGATTATATATGCACCTATTTTACTATGAAAACAATAAATGAGATAGATGACCTGAAAATAGACTGTACAACGTTTTTGATTTGTTTATTTTTTTTTTGCAGGCTCAAAATGGGTTATAAGCTAGGAAATATCTTCTCACTGGTAACTGTGTTAATTGTGGCTGCTGTCAGTGAATCAGATCTCCCAAGGTAAGCTCCGGATTACTTTATGAACCACAGTTTTGTCACAAAGTAAGCTCCGGATTACTTTATGAACCACAGTTTTGTCACAAAGTAAGCTCCGGATTACTTTATGAACCACAGTTTTGTCACAAGGTAAGCTCCAGATTACTATGAACCAGAGTTTTGTCACAAGGTAAGCTCCAGATTACTTTATGAACCACAGTTTTGTCACAAGGTAAGCTCCAGATTACTTTATGAACCACAGTTTTGTCATAAGGTAAGCTCCAGATTACTTTATGAACCAGAGTTTTGTCACAAGGTAAGCTCCAGATTACTTTATGAACCAGAGTTTTGTCACAAGGTAAGCTCCAGATTACTTTATGAACCAGAGTTTTGTCACAAGGTAAGCTCCAGATTACTTTATGAACCAGAGTTTTGTCACAAGGTAAGCTCCAGATTACTTTATGAACCACAGTTTTGTCACAAGGTAAGCTCCAGATTACTTTATGAACCACAGGTTTGTCACAAGATAAGCTCCATATTACTATGTGAAAAAAGAGTTTGGTCACAAGATAAGCTCTATATTACTATGTGAAAAAAGAGTTTGGTCACAAGATAAGCTCCATATTACTATGTGAAAAAGAGTTTAGTCACAAGATAAGCTCCATATTACTATGTGAAAAAGAGTTTGGTCACAAGGTGAGCTCCAGATTACTTATGAACCACAGGTTTGTCACAATGTAAGCTCCAGATTACTATGTTAAAAAAAGTTTGGTCACAAGATAAGCTCCAGATTACTTATGAACCAGAGTTTTGTCCAAAGACAAGCTCCAGGTTACTTTATGAACCAGAGTTTTGTCACAAGGTAAGCTCCAGGTTACTTTATGAACCAGAGTTTTGTCAAAAACTGTTAATCGCATTAGTATATATAGCAGTGTTTTTTTGTAAATCGTTAATAAGATTAGTTTATACAACAGAGTTTTGTCACGAATTAATCGTGGCTGCTATCAGTGAATCAAATCTCCCAAGGTAAACTCCAGATTACTTTATGTTTGTTTGTTTGTAATTAAACACAAAGCTACACAATGGGCTATCTGTGCTCTGCCCACCACGGGTATCGAAACCCGGTTTCTAGCGTGGTAAGTCCACAGACATACCGCTGTGCCACTGGGGGCATTACTTTATGAACCAGAGTTTTGTCACAGACTCTTAATCAAATTAACTTATACAGCAGTGTTTTCTTATTAACTTAATCATATTAGTTTACATACAAAGTTTTATCACAAACTCTTAATCAGACTAGTTTATACAGCAGAGTTTTATCACGAACATATTTAACCAGATAACTTTATATTGCAAAATTTCGTTACAAACTTTTGTCGGGTTATTTTATATGGTTTGTTTGTTTGTTTGTTTGTTTTGAATTTCGCGCAAAGCTACACGAGGGCTATCTGCGCTAGCCGTCCCTAATTTAGCAGTGTAAGACTAGAGGGAAGGCAGCTAGTCATCATGATACTGACTTTATACTAAATACTGACAGTAAAGATAAATCCCAGCATGATTATACAATAGAAGCTGTAATGTATATCCCAGCTAAAAGTATATAAAGTGTTGTCTTACTGATATTTTTATCTTATCAAATACACTAACCAGAGTGCCCGTCCTCTGGACGTAAGTTGTGTAAGTTTATGATTAAAGAAAGGTTGCTTCCCTTATATGTAGTTGTAAAGAAACGCAAAAACTCCCATAAAAACTGCAAAACACAAAATGTGAAATCGTAAATTTGCATGTATCTCCGCATGGACCCAAC